TTTGTGTTAATAATAGTATTGATCTTCCTTTCTTCAGGTGTTCCATCCAGCTTCTTACAGCACATGCAGCAGCTATCAACCCTGCCAACCCGCCCACCGGGCCCCACTCACCCAGTCTCGGCCCCAATCCGCCCATTGGGCCCAACCCTCCCACCGGGCCGAACTCAGCCAGTCGCACCACCAACCCGCCCACCGGGCCCAACTCAGCCAGTCGCTAACCGAACCCGCCCACCGGGCCCGACCCATCCAGTCATGGCCCGACCCATCCCACCGGGCCCACTCGGGCCCGCACGGCCAATCGTGGCCCGGACCCCTCCCGTCATAGGCACCATCACGCCCTCCCGCGGGTCGCCACCTGTCCCGCGGGTCGAGATCCGCTCGGCGGCACCCCACCTCCAGCACTCGAGGCCACGCCCTGCGTCGCCACCTGTCCCTCAACCTCCTCCGGCCTATTCTAATAATTTTCCGGCGGTGGCACGAGGCCCCGGCAATTCGTCTCGGCCTTTGGATTTGCCGGAGATTGGTTCGAAATTCGGGACTTTGGAGACATCAGACCTGGAGATAATAAGCAGTGTGCCACAGACGGCGAGAGACCAGGCGGCAAATGGCGAGAATGTGGTTTGCTTGTCGGACGGCGAGTAGTCATTTGTGGGGAATGGAATGGACGATGTTGTAATCTGTAATAGAGTTTGTTCGACTCTTGTGTAAAAGTCTTGTGTAATATGACGGATTATTAATGTATGTGTTTGACTTGGGTGGGGATTGGTAACATTCTAAACTTTAGTTGTTAGGGTGTTGATAATATTTGAACAATCATTTGGATTTGTCAGTTCTTTTATCATAAAAAAGGTCCACATTAGTTTTAAAGGGCACGTAATAAGCATTACTTACACAAGTGAAATAACAACCAACATAGATGCTCTTTTTTTCTTTTTGGATATAACAAACGTCCACATTTACATTAGTTTTGTTATGTGACATTAAAGAAAGATTTTTGGACATCTTCTATTATATATTATATTATTTAATTCTGTATATTTTCTTCAATTAATTATTATATTACACATATCAAATTATTTAACACTTAATAGTAATCTTTGATGACACAATTTCTTAATCTTTCTTTTTCAACACCATACATCTAAAAATGGACATTGTATCATTGGAAATATAGCGGATCGGGGAGCTTTTAGTCAATGAAGTTTTCACATTTTTATTTTTCTTTGATGGGTGCTTTCATGGGGTCGTTTTATTGAACTTTTTTCAAGTTATAACTTCTCAGTTCTCACCAAACGATCGAAGAAAACTTGTCAACATTTTGCTTGCGCATGAAGAAGCCCTCATTTCACCTTCCAACCTTCGGCTCCAAGACTTCTATATAAAAAACCATTTAAAATTCCACAAACTCTCATTAGTTACTAGTATTTATCATGCAATATTTGGAGGCAAGTTAATTTAGGACCAGAAAATTGGTCGGCAAAAGAAATCATGTATGGTCTAATTAAGCATACAAGTTGTTGGAGCAAATACATACTATACAACAAGTATATTACGTAATTGTTACATTATAAATTAGATATTCAATGTATGCTTGTAACAAAATGATGAAGAACTTGGCATGTACAAATTAGATATATTTAATCTGTCATCTTAACAAAATGTGATAATCGTTTTTCACTAATACTACTGTTTACATTATGGAAAGATTGATTATAATATTGTCCAAATTGGAATCAGATTTAAGGGAATGTTCCATTAACACTACAAGCTCCGATCCGTCATTGAATGACTGACACAAATTGTCACATTTCCAAACAATCATCTATAATTTACATGAATAAATATAAACTCAATAAATACAAGAATGCAATAACTAAAATTCGTGTTAATAAATAGTAACATGAATAAACAATGGCATGATAACCATTATGCACCATGAAAACCTAGCAACTATGGCATATCAAGGGCTTCTTTGGCAAATTATAAATCTTTACATACATAAGAATCCTATACTACATATATCACTCAAGATTTCCCAAGAAAAAAGAAAACTAACCTCAATGATTAGCTAAATACCCTTCCAAATAACACATTTAGGTTCTTCTACCATTGCATGCTTAAAATCGCCGTTAAGGGACAAAGCCAACTAATAGCCTAACAAGGCACCAACCACATGGTAATAGCCAATAAAAGACCACATTTTTTTTTTGCAGTCCAATACAAGNCTTGAAATTGCTAATGTCTCTTTTCTAGCTTCCTCTCCAATGTATATTATTATACGAGTGTGTGTTGATTTAACGAGTTTAGATTTTGAGGCTCTTTCACATTGTATCATTGTTTGATCATGATCACTACTAATACTGCACATCTCCCTACTTTCAATGCATTAACTAATATTTTATTTGGTTTTCATTTTTCTCCCTTGAAAAAGAAAATGATTTATTTAATTAACCTTGATCAGGAGAAGATTCATTCGAACGATAAAAACAGTAACAACAATAAATATACACTAGTAAAAACGAAATAAAACAAGAATCGACATTTGTGCACGCAAACACGTGTATATTATATGGCTAATAGCATTTTTCGACGAATTTTTCATCATTTGCAGAGTAAGATGGGTGAGATGTCGGGGTTTCAATTAGGTGTGATTGGTGCGTTGTTCCTTTCGGTGGCCTCATCGGTCTCCATTGTCATCTGCAACAAGGCCTTGATGAGTAATCTTGGTTTTCCTTTTGGTAATTAAGAATTTTATTTTTTCTTAATATTCTTCCCTTTTCTAAATTAGCCTAAACTTCTTGGACAACATATAATATAGTATTCACTTTCAATTTCTGCTTAAAGCTTAGAAAACTATCAAATGAACTAATGCAATTTTTTTATTTTTTTTTAATTCGATCTGCATTGATTTAATAAAATCATCCTATAATGATAACGTGGTACTCGTGCTAATTATAGTCGGTTTTGCAGCCACAACACTCACTAGTTGGCACCTAATGGTAACATACTGCAGTCTTCATGTGGCTTTACGCTTGAATTTCTTCGAAAACAAGCCAGTCGATATGAAGACCGTGATGCTTTTCGGTATCTTAAATGGTGTTTCCATTGGATTTTTAAATCTCAGCTTGGGATTTAACTCCATTGGCTTCTATCAGGTACATAATTAGACAGAATAAGACCTCAAAGGAAAATTTATGTAATTTTCAAAATTCTAAGGGATTTTGTTTCTAAAATTTCATCTGACTTCAGTGTCTTTTTCTTTCTTTCCATTTTTTTATTTTTGAGTTATCCTTTTATTTAATTCTGGTGTTGTTTACTTATGCAGATGACAAAACTTGCAATCATACCCTTCACTGTCCTGTTGGAAACTCTGTTCCTGAAAAAGCAATTCAGGCTAGTAAAATATGTTATAAAACCTTGTCAAACACAAACAGATACATGAAAATTGAAACGATTTTGATTGAAAATCAACAATATGTAATCTTCAATATCAATAATATATAATCTTCAAACTATTATTTTTATTTTATATGTATTTATGCAGCCAGAAACTTAAATTCTCTCTATCAATCTTGCTACTCGGTGTCGGCATTGCATCCGTGACCGATCTCCAGCTGAACATCGTTGGCTCGGTTCTCTCCCTTTTAGCCATTATAACAACTTGCGTAGGCCAAATCGTACGTAATTAAATACCTGTTTAAATTTTAACCTTTTTTCGTTGTCGTTCACTCGATCTTGCTTCATGTCATTAATTACAATTTCTTTTTCTCTTTTTTCAAACATTTTCAGCTTACGAACACCATACAAAAGAGACTAAACGTGTCTTCGACCCAACTATTGTACCAATCGGCCCCATTTCAAGCGGCGATTCTATTCGTGACGGGCCCTTTCTTAGACCAATGCCTCACAAAACAGAATGTCTTTGCCTACAAATACTCTCCAATTGTTTTGGTACACTTCTTTGTTTTCTGCATTGTGTGTAATAAGAAAAGTTGTTGAAGGGGGATTTTCGAACTGATATTTTTATTTTCGAATATAACCGATTAATAGGGATTTATACTGCTCTCGTGCATGATTGCCGTGTTTGTCAACTTCAGCACATTCTTGGTAATCGGCAAAACATCGCCTGTTACTTATCAAGTTTTAGGCCATCTTAAAACGTGCCTCGTTCTTGCCTTTGGCTACACGCTACTTCACGACCCTTTTACCGCAAGGAACATTATCGGAATTCTCATCGCCATTATAGGCATGGGTTTGTATTCCTATTTTTGCACTAATGAGACCAAAAGGAAACAAGATGGGGCTTTGTCCCAGGTAATAAATGTAAGGACTAAACATAATCGAAATCTTTTGTCTTTTCATGGTATTTTTTAGAATAAGAATTTATGATTTTATAAGGATTATTTTTTGTGTTCAGGTTAAAGAAAAGAGTAGCACACCTCTTCTGGTGAGCCATCAGGACAAAGAATCCAAGGCCTCAGTACTTGTTTAAGTTAGATATTGTTGTTTGATTAGTACTATATCATTTGCTTCTCTTTTTTTTATTTTTGGTTTTATTTTTTTTCCCATTGTAAGAGGCCTAAGGAGTGTAATGCAATTTATTCTTTTAATTAATGAAAATAAATCTCGCATGGACATTTCCAAGTTGGCACAGAAGAGGGAAAAAGAGTGAATATTGAAATTCAGGGGGAATCATGTTTTCACCATTATGCCAAAATAGAAGTCCTACTAAATTTTGGATTTGATCTCCAGATGTGATCTGAATACATCAAGTTTTTGCTTCCAATTTGAAAATTATTATTTTTTTTCTTTAATTTTCATATAGAAATCATGCTTTGTAAGACGGTTGTTAATTATATAGTGTTAATTATTCACTTTCTTTGAGGGTCAAAAAGTAAAATCCCCCTTCTATATTAATTCAGAACGTGCTGAACCTATATGGCAGACTCGCATGCTTTGGGATCCTATGTAACAAAATTACATGCTTCGTTATTAGGTTTGAATAGATTTAATTTACTTCTAATCCAAAAATATTTAGGTTCGAATTATCTACAAATATATTGATTATTTATGGTAGGGGTGGGCGTGGTCCGGCTGAATTTGACTTGTCCAGATACCGATCCCACTTTTATGAGTTGGTCCATGAACGGCACGGGATTAGATACCGTTCCCACCCATGTGATACATGGGTGTTGTACTAGTGAGTTATTATATGAGATTATAGCATGAATACACATTACTAGTGACCGCGCGTCGCGACGCAGCAAATTTAAATTTATATTTTTCCTCTACTAACTAGTAGTAGCAGCGAGTAAGGGTCGATCCCACGAGGAGTAGGAACTAAATTATGATAATTTTGTATTAAATTGAACTAAAACTAAGAAAGCAAATATAGGGGGATTGATTTTATAAAACTAAAAATAAAATAAAAATCAAATAAAATAAGAGAAGCCCAATTTTCGATTCAGTTATCACTCAATCTATATATACCGTTAATTAATTTCGACGCTTTTTTTTTTTCTAAATTGCTAATAAATTACCAACCATAGCTAACAATAAGCTCTGTTAATCGAATTTTTCCTTACCGATTAGTTAATCGAAATAAACTCTTTGACTAAACCTAACTAGTGGACAACCTAGAATAAACTCTTTAGATTTAATTTACTAGCAACATTAATTTCTAAAAAAATAGATTAGTCTAAGCAACGGACGCAAAAGCTCGAACCATTTAACTTATGTTCACGTAACCCTAGAGATGCACGACCCCTAGTTCACTATTGATGTAGCGGATAACATATGATGGGATATTTTGTGAAGAAGAAATAATACAGACAATTTATTTCATTCAATCTGATAACTTCTCCCGTTCACAAATACACAATTGTTTATAAATTATACATCCAAGATCACTATTAATTAAAAGCCCAACACAACAAGTTCAATACCACATAATAAAAGCCCACACACAACATAAAGAAACATAAACTAACTAATAATAAAAATATAATAATAATCAAGCTAAGGACCGAAGCCGATCATGTTTGTCGAGATATGCTAATGCAATCTTGTCGGCATCATTCTCCCCTGGGTCAAGAGGATTCGCCCTTGAATCCGCAATCTCGTCGGCAAGGAAACAGTCATCAGCTAAAGGTACCAAATGCGTCATGTGAAACACATCTGATGAACGTACATAAGATGGCAATTGAAGACGGAAGGTATCGTGAGTGACTCGGTCAATGATCTCAAAAGGCCCAAGCCGATGGTCCAACGACGAAATAACCCACACAAAATCACGTACATCAAAGACCACCGAACGACTGTCCACCGAACTGGATAACTCTCTACACTGCTTGGTGCGAGAGACGAATAAAACCGAGGAAGACGATGGCAACGGACCCGAACGGGATAACGACGGCAGCAAGACTATACAAACACCCTCAAATAAAAAGCTATATGTGTTGAATCGCCCATCATGGACCACCGAGCGATCAAATTGCCAAGGTCGTCCTAATAAGACGTGCTAAGAATCTATAGGCACGACGTCACACCAGGTCATGTCCTTATAAGAGGATCCGATCGAAAAGGTCACCAACACACGTCGATCCGGATGTGGCTCACTTAACAAACCAAGTTTAGACACAGCCTCGTTCGAAATCACATTCTCGCAGGAGCCGGAATCAATGACAAAACGACACATCCGACCGCCAATAGTGCATGTGGATTCAAAAAAGTGGTGTCGTTGGACCTTATCCTCGGAAGAGATGTGGGGAAACAAAAGAGACCGACGAAGGACAAGCGCGTGACCTACATCTCCCGAAACATGCACTTCAGGAATCTAAGGCTCTTTATCAAAAATTGGAGGACCATCGTAAGCAGTCGAGTCTGGCTCGTCAACAATCAACACTCGTGACCCTCTTGCCTTCGGGCACTGTGCCTGGCGATGCCCCGGCTTACCACAAGTGAAACAGCACGGACCACTAGACTGCCGATTGCCACTCCCCATCGTGGGGCCATCCACACGACCTTCAGAAGGAGCACCCAAATTGAAAGGAGCCTTCGGCGCAGACGACGCGGTACCCGAAGTCCCAAGAGGCTCCTTTGTAGACGGCGCAAAAGAAGTGCCTACCTTCTGGGCCTACTGCTACTCAACCAATAAAGCCCGTTGATGAGCCTCAGAAATGAAAGCTGCTGTAAACATATTCAACAAATCTTGAATAGAGACACGCAATCCCCCAATATAACGAGAAATCAATTGTTCCTGAGTTTCACGAATATCTACCCGGGCCAAGAGTTTATAAAATTCCGCAGTATAATCATCCACACTACGTAGTCCTTGATGAAGATTTTGCAAACGTTGATATAAAGTACGGACAGAATTAAACGGTAAAAAATTCCGTTCAAAATACTTACGAAATTTTACCCACGAAGTAATTTTGGGTTTGCCATGTCGATGTCGCACACCCTATAAACGTAACCACCAAGCGACCGCTCGCCCCCGAAGTCTATTGACCACAAGTGCGATCCGCCTATTATCCGGTACACTTTTATAATCAAGGGCAGCCTCTACCGCGGTCAACCAATCAAGAAATTCACTCGAGTCTAAACCGCCGGCAAAATCTGGAATTTCCACTCGGAAAGCTGATTCCCAACGACTCTCGGAAATTAAATCACCACGCCCAAAAGTGTCACTTGGATATTAATTAAAAAAATTACCTCTGCCAACACCAATCTCACGCGCTGGAGGAAAGGAGTTGTCACAGTACTCAGAGCAAGCCCAGCGCTGCTCTATCTCTCTCTTTTTGCGCTATTCTAGTGCTAAAATGCACTCCAACCCTGCACTAGATATTTGCGTTACTTTAGAGATTGCAACAGTGTTGCGCCACATCTGGCACAACACTGTAGCATCTCTACAATTTTTTTATTTTTTTTTTCTTTTTTTTTTATGTATTATAATGTAATATTAATGATAAATTTGTGTATAATGTGTATTAGTAAATGTATTTTTTATGCTAAATAACTTTGTGTAATGTATTTTTTATGCTAACTAATTTATAACTTTGTGTATGTATTTTTTATGTTGAATAATTTATAACTTTGTGTAATGTATTTATTATGCTAAATAATTTTGTATTTTTTTTATTTACGTATTACAACTTTGTGTGAGGTATTTTTTATACTAAATATATTTTTATTATTTGGGTAATAAAAATATGAATAAAAATATATGTATATTTTTTACTATTAAAAAATTTTTTAATAGTAAAATGATACCATATGAATAAAAATTGATGTATATTAATTTTATTTTGTAATTTTTTAATATTAAAATACCACCAAAAATGAATATAAGATGAAATATACATATATTAGAATTTATTTGAAATAAAAATGAATAAAAAAAGATAATAAATTTGAATCAACCGTAGGATTCTTATCTAAAGATCAATGGCTAAGATCATATATATACATAATAAAATTTGCACAAGATATGGTCTAAACCATATATGGTCTAGTGTGTAAATGTGCACTAATTCATATATGGTCTAAACCATATATGGTCTAGTGTGTAAATTTGCAGTAATTCATATATTTTCAAAAGTAACAATTTTGATTCAATCAGTACATAGATGTATATGTATCTTCTTTAAGAAATTCAGTTTAATACAATTTTTTTTTAAATGTCAAGATATGGTCTAAACCATATATGGTCTAGTGTGTAAATTTGCACTAATTCATATATGGTCTAAACCATATATGGTCTAGTGTGTAAACCATAATATTTTTTTTATTTACTATTTGGGTAATAAACATTTATATAATATTACATATTCATATATATAGCAAATTATTCGAAATATAAATACATAAAATATATTTTTATTATTTGAGTAATTAACATTTTATATAAGATTAAATATACATATATACCAATTTATTTGAAATAAAAAATGAATAAAAAAATAATATATTTAATGTAGAGTAAAATGTAGAGATAAGAGCTGGAGATGAATGTTAAACTCTACTCTAGAGTAGAGTAAAGTCCGCGCTAGAGTAGAGATAAGGGCTGGAGATGGCCTCACCAAAAGCCCCAAAGTCACCGCCTCTGCACAAATCGGCGTCGGCTCGGTTAACCGCAAACAGAGCAGGTCCCCGGCGACCCTGCTGCTCCAAGCCACGAACATCATCCCCGCCGGCAGCCCCTTGCCGGAACGCGCAATCGCCGCCTCGCAGACTGTCGCCGCCTAGGGCATCGCGCCGACCATGTTGCTGCCATCCACGACCGTCGTCAACGCTGCCAGCCCCCGCGTCGGAATTCGCGGTCGGCAAATCGGGGAAAATCGCGACCAAGGGCTTCTCGCCTGTGGTCCGCTCGCCGATTAAAATTGGGAAACCCGCGACCTCAAACAGCTTCATGTGGATGATGGTTAGGGGATGGAGGGTTGGGAAAACCGTCTTCAGGCTCCCGCTGATGGTGGTCGGCAAAAACACGCAGGTGGGGAAAAGCGTCGGCAAAAGGATTGATGTCGGACCAAGTCCCCTCACTTTCCTCATCGCTGGACAGATGCTGTGGGACTTGTTGACGGGGCGCCCCGCCGAGTCCTCGTCCCCCACGTGCACCTCATTAACCCCCACACCCGCCACGACCTCCAACGACATCCCGGTTAACTTGTTGATCCCTCAATATGGCCGTCAGAGTGGTTCGAATATCGTCTATGCCCATGGCAAGATCCGTCACCCGAGTATCCATTAA